CCAACACTAGGAAAGAGTGGATTAGCTTTATTTTTAATGAAGTTCCAGACCGCTTCAGTTAAAGGTTGGTCGTTTGTTCACTTCATTTCACCACGGATTCGTTTACAAACAAGGCACAATTCGACGCTGGACTTTCTGAAAGACATTAAAAGACGATGCTGTGCGACTATATTGGATCTGACAGTAATGTCGCAACAGACAAGTGTGAGGAACTGGTTTTATTACATGCTCACTATTGCCTTGTCTGTTATTACAGATCGTTTGATATGAACTGAGTATTTATGCGTTTTTAACCTAAATCACACACAACTGTTAGCCAATCACAGAAGTGGGCGTTTACTTCCGAGTCTATAATCCTCCACGCCCATTCAAACAGAGCGCTCTGATGAGGGGTCAAAACAGGACAGAAAATAGCCTATCACTGCTAAATTATGATGTTTTATGTAAAAATCTTGATAACATTATAAGTGGACATAGAGAACAGTACAAAATAATAAAAAAGGCAGCTCATGACCCCTTTAATCGCTTGACAGCACTAATAAATAATAAAAGTAGCAAGTTTGCCAGTGTAAATGTCTCTAATTATTGAACCCAAGGCTCAAAACAGTCAGTTTACACACTGATCAATCAATCAATGGAATCAGGTGGCAAACCTTGGCGTTGGCTCTGTGGCTGGGCTCTTCTCTGGGCTTGAGCGCGCCGATGCCGATGGTTGGCAGCTGCGTCTGGAACACAGTCATGCGTCCTCCGGTGGGAGACAGCAGCTTGAAGGCAGCCTGCAGCGCCGGACCCAGAGCGGACTGAGTCTCCATCGTCTGACCGAACATCTGCGGCAGACTCGCCAGCAGATCCTGGACCAGCTGCAACGACAAGACCATCGAGATCAGAGCGTTCAGAGTCCCGTCTGACCAACCCCAGAGCGCACTCGCTCACCTCTCTGCACTCGCTCAGATTGACCAGAAGGCTGTCGGGCGTCGGCAGAAACACATCTGAGGGAAGACAGGCCGACAGTCAGCTCACTTCTGATATTTCACATCTGTGACGTACTGATGGGAGAACGCGCTTACCGTCGATGTCTGACACGATGAGCATCTGAGGCTGCGACAGGCCTTCCTGGAGGTTGTAGAAATGAATGTTGCTGTCGAACGTGATGAAGCCGATCTTCGTCCGAGTGTCTCCGGGAAGCCTTCATGGTAAAGAAACACACGACACACTGATGAGTGAGCTCAAGCGCAGCGGACAGCAGCTTCATCAGCGATGCTCACTTACGAGTCGAGGCTCTCCAGGAGCGTCTGACAGACGACATCCAGATATCCGGTCTCCACCGCGTTATGAGACACGTCCAGGACGAAGAGGTAAGCGGCGGGCTGCGGCGGCCTCAGCTGCGGACCAAACACTGCGCTTGAGTTCACTGACATTACAGGAAAATGGTTTCTCGACATCTCACATCATCGCACTCTTTGCCTGTACGTAGAACTTTCACGTTCATAAACGCATGCTGCATGGCTCATCACTTACTATGTGGAAACTTGATATTAGCACATAATTTAACAGATCTGTTCTATGATGTTACAGATAGAAGTGTCTGTCAGTGCCTACATGGAACCAGGGTTATTATAACTAACTAAAACCATTAATAAATAATAAAAAAATGTTACTTAAAGGGGTCATATGATGCGATTTCAAGTTTTCCTTTCTCTTTGGAGTGTTACAAGCTGATTGTGCATAGATAAGATCCCTGAAGTTGCAAAGACTAAAGTCTCAAAACCAAAGAGATATTCTTTATCAAAGTTAAGACTCTGCCACGCCCCCCTAAAACGGCTCATTCTAACACGCCCCCACATATCTACCCCACTATGTGGAAATATTTGCATAATCCCGCCGCAAATGTGCACGCAAAGAAAGAAGGCATGGTGTCAGTAACCGCAGTTAGTGTTGAAGCAACATGTCAACGGCTTGTTCTAACACGCCCCCACATATCTTTTGTTTTGCGCATCATGTGTGTGTGTGTGTATGCGCGCGCGCGCATGTGTGAGAGAGAGAGAGACAGGGTCACATCACAGTGGAGTCAGCTGTCTTAACCGTGGCTTGTGTACTGCAAACACATACCAGCTTCATCACTGTGTCTGTCACGCGACTCTGTTCCCCTTTCGGGCTTGAACTGATGGTTGGTTTTGAAAGATGAAGCTCGCAACTATGGTAAGGGGCGTTACATTTCCGACGAGTGCTTGCGGTGTTCGGCCAATCACAATGCACTGGGTCAGCTGGCCAATCAGAGCAGACTGCGCTTGTCGGAAGGAGGGACTTTGTAGAAAACGAAGCGTTTGAGAGAGGCGGGGCATAGAGGACCTACAATAATGTACAGTATTTGAAAAATAATGTGTTTTTTGAACATTAAAGCATGTCAACATATTCTGTTACACCAAATAAACAAAATAATGATCTTTAAAAAAGCATAATATGACCCCTTTAAATGATGTAACAGTATATTTATGTAGTTAATAATTACATTAAATTGGGTTAATAAAGTTCAAATTAGCTCAACAAAGAGTATGATTTTTTTTCTGCTTGTTCACTCTGGGCAGTAGTTTAGATTTTTATTTGTCTTGACAACATTTTCACTGGTGCCCAATAAACAATTATAGATGTATAATGTATAAAACATTTATTTAATATTTTTAAATAAATTATTTGAAATTATTTATAAATAATAAATATTTATAAAATATAA